AAGCCCGAGCACCATTTTTCCAGCATACCTGCCCTGCACTCTGCCCAGCCAGGGGCAAAAGGGTCTCCTGCTCACAACGCCCTGAAATAACACCGGCTCCATCAACAAGGCAGCCTGAGGGCGTGTCTCCGGGCTAGCCAACGTTTGGCACAAATGGCCACTAATGGAACTTGAGGCTGGCTCACGCAGGGAGAAGGCTTGACACGGACTTGCTTGCTCCAGGGACCACCTAAGCGATTTGCACCGGCACGGAGCCATCGATTACATTATGGTCACAGCTTCAAACGTGAGCAGCTGACGCTCTGGTGAGCGCCGTGAGCGTGCGGGGAGGACAGCCACGCCACGCTGGCCTGATGATACGACTCTTTCATAACAGGCCTGTAAGGAAGAATCGCGTTTTGATGTATTAGCGGTCAAGCCAAGGTTATCTTCCAGTGAAAGTACAAAAAGAGGCAAGTAATCTAATAGATTCCCAGGGCAGCGAACTCCAGCACCAGTTCAAACGAGCATCTGGTCTCGAAGATCAAAAGCAGGACGGCCTCCCGCTACAATCTTTACAAGAGCATGAGAAATGGGTCAGCCACCAGGAGCAGCTGATAAGGAAAGAAACAAATGCCGACTAACCCAGGTCTTGAACCCTGACAGGCCGAGGTTTCTCAGCCTGAAACGACCAGGCGGTGGGCCTTTCATGAGATCAGCAGTCGCAGAGCATTTGCAAGGAGGAGCTGGTTGCAGTTGGGTAAGCGTTAAATAATGAACGCTGGTTTGTTTGTTTGCCAGACATTTTGCTGGGCGGCGCATGCCACGGGCAGTGATGAGAACTCTGTCATGGCACCCAGGAAATCTTCCTATGAATCCTATCAAGCTAGCGAGCAGCAGCCTACAGAGCTTACCCCTGGGCATATGTCGGCGGATGTCAATGGGGGTCCTCCCAGTCGTAAGTGCCTTGCAGGGCAGCTGAAGGATCAAGTCCTAATGCCCAGGTCTGAGGGGCTCACGGGAGGGAAATGGACACTGGTGAAGCTCTGGGAAGTCGGGGGTTGAAAAGAAGCGGCTTGCGAGGAATGAAAAAAGGAATTTCATTTGTCCAAGGAGTGCTCTGTGGTCGGCAGCTCTATCAAATCCCGTGTTGGGATGCGTCTGCACAAGCCCCCAGGAGCCGGCAGAAAAGCCAGAGCATGCAGTTCCTCACACACCGCTCCGAAACGGGGAGCAGTGCTATCAGCATTCATGCAGGCATCTCCCCTCCTCATCTGAAAATGGAGCTCGAAGCTTTGTCTTCCTGATAACTCCTCTCTCTCAGGATTTCTGCCCTCTGGGTAATCAACCACTGATAGCGGAGACGCCCCTTGGTCCAAAAAAAAAAAAAAAAAAAAAAAGGACACTTGTTTGAACTGAAAACTAATGAAGAGAGGTGCCCACTAAGTTCAAACCAGCTTTGCCCCCCCGCTGACAGCGAGGTAATGCCAGTCGGGGTCAAAACCATAAATCGACAGGGAGCACAGGGAATGTTTAAAGCCGGAGTCTCTCTGCTGAGCACGGGGCTTCGGCACAGTAACCCCACCGCCTCACAAATAAACCAACTGAGCACGCACAATCCATGGCCTCTCCCCTTCACTTTGTGCAGCTGTGGATGGAGCAGAAATAGCTTTGAGGAAGCCCGAGGACTTGAAGTCGGCCATCTTTTAATCCTCATGTGAGCGCTGTCCTAAGGAAAAAGCACTCCCGCCTGCAATGATTAGTCCGACCGCTGATCTTTGAACTAATTAAAAACATAAGAACAGCCACACTGGGTCAGACCAACAGTCCCTCTAGCTCAGCATCCTGCCTGCCAACAGCGGTCAATGCCAGATGCCCCAGAGAGAGGGAACGCAACAGGTAATCCTCACGTGATCCCTCCCGTCACCCAATCGACATGTGATCTACGGGGATCCTGTGGCCATGGGAGGTCAGGGCGGGGTGTTCCTTTTTAAACAAAACACATACTAAGGGCATGTCATGGGCCACATTGCTCATTCCATCTTCTTCACAACTCGTGGACATACAGCACAGCACTCTACTCCACCCGCTGTAAGAGGTCTTTCATACCTCCTGCACTCTGAGCTGGATTCTTGCACACTCTCCGGGCAGCAGGTGTTCCAAATGTACCCCACCGTGCCCGGGCTGTTTACACAGAGGTGCTGTTCT